TTTTTTTAAAAAACGCCGAAACACACTTTACTATATAATGATGTATGATTTGGATCAAAATTAAAATTAAAAAATGTCACATAGGGTCTAATAAATTATGAACAGTTTGGCTGATTGATGTCCTTTTTTTCACAACTGGAACGGACAGAAATAAGATGTTAAATAAAAACAACAGTGAATCTAAACTCTGCAATCCATTAGTTATGAATACAAAATATAATTCGAGAATTAAAGGATTAAAAGACGCATCTAACAATATTGGAATGAAATGAAAACAGACACAAGAGGCAAAGAAATATTTTCATCGGAACCAGTTGTAGCTTATAGCAAGCCACAAAAGCATAGGAGATATGATTATTAGATTCACGTTTACAAACCAAATCAACTGCTAAAAGGTGGAAATGAGGCCAACTTAGGGCATATAGCCGTTTTTTTAAAAACCGCCGAAAGCTCTTTGCTATATAATGATGTATGAAAGTGCAAAATTAAAATAAAAAATGAAAATAGATTTGGACACAGACATCCTCAATCTACACAATGAAAACACAAAGGAATTGGCTGATTGATGGATTACCGCAGGCATTTGGGCTCTATGCAACAGAGCTCCTCTAACTCTAGGACTGCAACAGTCTCCAAGGCCCCAGGAAGGAACACCCGAGTACCTCGGAAGGACTGGAATCATCACAACCAAAGAAACTCTTTCTCAGGTTATCGTCCTCAAGAGAAAAGAGGTCAATTCCGACGAAGATACCACCCATATTAACAGTCTTACATGTGGACTTGAAACACCCTCTCATCTGGTGATGTTTATTTTTAATTATCAGTGCGTTATAATTACTACAAACAATAGTGACATCTGCAATATGGAATAACTTTCCTAGTGAGGTCTATCGAATATTCGGGCGGATTAAAAATATTATGCAGTTTGGATCTTATTTAATGTACAATAATTTCATAATGTATAGACCAGTCTAATACTTGTACATTTTAACTACTTTGTCGTTTTAAATAACATTGATATTATCAAGGAAGCTACATCTTTGTTTGTTTTGAATGCAATATTCCTTATATTATAATCTCTAATTATTTTAGAACTTGTGTTTTTACTTCTTAAAACATTTGACCAACAACATGGTCACCTATTGGTTGATTGTATTAGCTTCAGTTTGACTGAAAGGGGGCGTGGCTTATCGCTTCTGCGCGCTTCTTTAATCTTGACATTGCTTTTATTTAGCCAGTGCGAGTAAGCACGGCAGGATTAATTTTTGTGCCACTTGTTTGTTTGCTTTGCAAATTATACACGGGAATTTTATTATCTATTACGTATGTGCCTTATACCCTCTATCAATACGCTCAGACGTATTATAGACGTGGTGTTATTATAATTAATCGGCACTTATTGGTTTACCCTCTATTTATACGCTCAGACGTATAATAGACGTGGTGCTTTATTATATTATCAACAACATCATTTATCCTCTGAGATAATTAATTCAATCTTACACCATTAGAGTTATAAGATATTCAAGCCGTTTCTAACAATGGCGCGACGTTTCAGGCGTCTAGATAAACAGAAGAAAAGTGTATTAAGAGCGTCTAATGCATTTGCTCATAAACAACGTATTCACAGAGCAAGCGTAATAAATGCAAAAAAATTTGTTCTTAATTTATCCTCATGTGGTCTTCAAGATAACGAATACATACTGCTAGCCAAAGGACTTAAATTCATCCCGTCACCACAAAGCAGCAATGTCAAAAGGTTTCTCCTTAAGGACTTTGACGAGTTTTCTAGAAAACTCAGATGCAAATTCTTCTTTGATACCGGGGAAAATAATAAACTTCATCCCTTCAGAACATCTACTGGTTATAAACCCGATCAGGCATGCGGTGCTCTTGAAAATTATATTGACAAAACCAAATTAGAATTATCATCTATGCCAATAAAACAATATCGGGATAATTTAACTAACCAGGAAAGGGCGGCATTGGTCTCATTAAAAAACAATCGCCATATTGTAATCAAAAAAGCTGATAAAAGTAACACTGTGGTCATCATGGACAGAGATAAATATGTCACTGAAGCTTTACGTCAACTTGAATCAAAACACTACCTTGAAGTTGAAAAACCTGATTTGTCACATTTACGTAATACCATACAAGAAAAAATATCTGATATGTTTATTGGAGGAGCTTTAGACAAAGAAACATATCGTTATCTAAGTGATAGCGATTCGTCCCTTAAATGCGGACATTTATACTTGCTCCCTAAAATACACAAGATCAAAGATAAAATCATGACTGCCCTTATGAACGGCACTTGCAGCCTCAGACGGCTACCACCTGGGCGACCAATTATTTCACAATGCGATACACCAACACAGAGGATTGGTGCTTACTGTGATTATTTTCTAATCCCGATTGTTCAAAAACAATCGACGTACATAAAGGATACTACGGATTTCATCAATAAAATCGAAGCCTTATGCTTACCATCGCAAATCATACTGATCACTTATGATGTTACAAGTATGTATACTAACATGGAGTTTGATGAATTATTAAGCGCTGTTGAAGAGGCCTACCGAAATTACAAACGAGATTTATCAGATCTGCCTTATCCCGAGGTCTCAGATCTCCTCTTTCTTCTAAAGTGCATACTTGAAAATAATTATTTTGAGTTTAATGGAAAATATTACAAACAAATAATCGGTTGCGCAATGGGTTCAACTGTTTCCCCTGAGGTATCTGATATAAGAATGTTCCAGATAACTCAATCAATCATGGCGCAATTTCAGTATGCCAATAAAGTCTTGTTTCACGGCAGATTTAGAGATGATGGCTTTATTATTTTCAATGGGTCTGAGAATGAGATTCTTGATTTCTTTCAAATTGGCAATCAATGCCACCCGCATTTGAAATTCACTTTTGAAATCTCAATTGATTCTGTGAATTTTTTAGACACAACAGTGTACAAAGGAAAAAAATTCCAAGAATCCAACAAACTAGATATTAAGTCGTACATTAAACCAACAAATAATTTTCAATATCTACACAGAGAAAGCTCTCACAACCCAGCAGTATTCAAAGGTTTCATTAAGGGAGAATGCATTAGACATATGAGAAATACCAATGACAATGCAACCCTCAGCACAATTCTACAAAACTTCAAGAAACACTTGTCAAAGAGAGGCTACTCTGATACAGAAATAGACCCTATTTTCACAGACGTAACTGGAACGGACAGAAATAAGATGCTAAACAAAAACAACAGTGAATCTAAACTCTGCAATCCATTAGTTATGGTTACAAAATATAATCCGAGAGTCAAAGGATTAAAAAGACGCATCTTAAAATATTGGAATGAAATGAAAACAGACACAAGATGCAAAGAAATATTTACATCGGAACCAGTTGTAGCATATAGCAAGCACAAAAGCATAGGAGATATGATTATTAGATCACGTTTACCACAAGAATACAACTGCTAAGGTGGACCCCTGATGAGGCGGGCCTTAGGGCATATAGCCGTTTTTTTAAAAACCGCCGAAACACTCTTTACTATATAATGATGTATGAATCAAAATTAAAATTAAAAAATGTCACATAATTTGGTTAAGAGTGTCGGGTCCTAATAAATTTCATGAACAGTTTGGCTGATTGATGTCCTTTTGGCATGCAGTCAAATCAGTTAAGTCCTGTTTGAAAAAAGTATCTTCTGGGCCAGCATATCTTGAGGGAAAAACCTGGTCATCTCAACTTGATGACAAAGTGGAGCCAGTGTGCACTCACTTTCACTGGGCCATTAGAAACTGTGATGAAGATACCGCAAAACTTCAAGCACTTCTATTGAACATAGTAGAACATTACAAGAACAATCACTCAAATTGTCATTCTTCCTCCAGGTGCAAAATGGATCCTAACTATGAAATATCTCGGAAAGTTATTTCTAACCCGTGTGCCGAGAAGTTGTTGCTAGGAGTCGTAAAAAATTCTATTGTTTATAAGCATCCACAGGATTACATTTTATGTCATGATACATTTTATGTTGAAAGCTTCAACAATGTCATGAATGTATACCAGGACAAACGAATATCATTTTCTGATGACATGTACAGAGCAAGATCCAATTTGGCTGTATGTCATTGGAATGAAAACGTGGACAGAGATTATACATCTGTTTGGAGACCAAACCACCGAATGCCAAGAAGTGCTAAGGGTAAAAAGAACTACAAAAAATTAACTTTCTCATTTAGGAAAAATATTTGGACACGATATGTGAAGAGTGTCTTCAAAGCTAAAAGAAGAAACTGATGTTATTGATTTTATTTGAAGGAGACATGTGTAAATATCCCAAATTGTAAGAACTTTAAATCAAACTCCATTATTTACATGTAATTAGTTTGAAACTTTTGTCCTGATTATCTGCAAAATCCTAACTGTTTATACACTGCATTTATGTGTTAATAAGTAAATGTTGTATACTTAATTAAACTGATTTGCAGTACACGCAGATTTCACTTCTTTATTTATATATACACACAAAATGAAATGGAATTCCCACTGTCGGTTATTTGTAAACAAAGCTGACTCAGCTCAGTGCAGTTCTTATCAGCTGCACTGACAGTGATGGAGATAAGCGCCGCCTATTTTACCAGGTGGCAAAAAATCTAGGTCGCCCCCGGCCTTTAACCAGCACTGACGTTTAGTCGGTCAGTTCCGTCTCTGTCAATTGCAAATAAGATTTAGCTGATCCTACCCATGCATTGTGTGACTTTCGTGGTCCAATATCTCATGGACAGGTCCAATATATCACACTTCATGGTCAAACATTAATTTTTTATGATTGCTCAGTAAAACATTGGAAATATTAGACATTTTAGGTATAGATTTATGTGTATGTGTGATAGCAGTAACCAAAGTCACCTAGCTGCATAGAATATTTTATTCTCTATATTGATTTTGTGATTGATTAAAAGTATTTTCTTTAAATTATTTTGCAGTGAATGTAAATGTCACAAAAATTGTGGGGAGTTTGCTGATGGCATTAATTTTTTTCAACATTGGATTGATCGTCGATTTGATTTAAGGTATTGCATGTTTCATCTTTAATAAAGTTTTAGCAAATGTTTCACTATAATTCTGCAGTAAATACTAAATAAATAAATAGGTGAGCTAAAACCAATCTGCATGCTGCTTGCATGTACTTCTTTAATACTGTCTTAAGGATACACCAAAGGTTTCCAAATGGCAGAATTTAATTTGCTTGTTATTCTTTCATTATCAAAGATAGCATATTAAAAGTATATATCATTTGAAAGCTTGTTAAATTTACTATTTAATGATCCTAATTTAAACTTTCATTTTATTCTTCTTAAAAAATAATTAATATTTTAATGTAAATGTAAGTGCATTTGTATTTTATAAATCAACTTTTTTGTATTCCATCTCTCAAAGTCATAATTTTGCCTCAAGGTAGATTAAAGATTGAACTCAAAAACCGTATCTCAGATTTTTGATAAATCTTTTAGGTCAAAAGTTACATTCATTTGTCCTTCAATGTTACCAATTTATTAGCCCAATTCTACATTTCCCCCAATAATTCAAGAACTAAGCAAGATATCAAAAATCTGAGATACGGTTTTGGGAACACACATTTGAGACACAATCTAGCCAGTTTTCAGAGAAATTGGTCAATAAATAAGGGAGCTGAATCCTTTGAAATAATACCACCAACTGTCTGATCTTACTTTACAGTAGAGGGCAAAAACCCATTACACAACAAATTCTGCCAAAGCTAGAAATATATGACACCTTGGAGATTCAGCTTTGGATACCTGTCACTCTTCCATATTTTCTATGCATATTCACAAGAATGGGAGGTTCTTTTCTATATTTAAGTGTTTTAATTAAGTAAAATAGGTTCAATTCTGAATCAGAAAGATTTCCCAGCAAAATGGCAAGAGCTAAGCTCCACCTCCTATTTCATGGTCATTAGTGACCTGTTAGATCTCCTTCCCTAAATCTGGGTTCCCTGTTGTTTAATTACTGTTAACCTCTGTGTGGCTAGTGAAGAATTCCCCAAGTGGTCACAGTGATTTATTGCTCCTTTCAGGAGCAGACAGTCACAGATCAAATCAGAAGCTTCAATTACGGAACATTCACATGTGGTAGTGTTTATGTTTCATTATTGTTAAATATTTAGAAAACCATTTCATATTTACCAAGAATTTTACATGCATTATAAAGCAGTGATAAAGTTCTTTTTCTTAGCCAAAAATCTCTAAATTGTTGAAAATCTTGAAAAAAGCCTTTGGTGTATCCTTCAAATTGCTTTAAAAGACTATTGCATTTTTTCACACTGGTGGTGGAAAATTAATTGACCAAAACACTTTGAGAAAAAAAACATAAATATTTGTTTGAAACCAATGGTAGTCATTGCAGGTAGGGTGGGGCCAAAAGAGGGTAGAAAAATATTATACTGAGAAATAAATCGGAAAACTGGTCAAGAAAAGCAGGATTTTCATATGAAGAGCTTTTAATCAGCAACCATCTTCAGATGTGCAAATTTGTATGAACTTTTTTAATTAGTATAGTTTGCTTTCAATTTTTGGTCTTTGTTTTAAGCGTGGGACTTATTAAACATCTCAGTCAAAAGGATTAAAAATTCAAATAATACAAGAAATGTATACAAGAAAAAAACCTATTTTTCTCTATAATAGCAAGCCCATATATTAAGTATAGATAATGTTGAAAAAAAATCCAAAATGTTAATTGGATCCATGGAGCCCTTAGAGTTTGGGTGGGACACAATATGGAAACACAGTTTGTTTGTTTGTTTGTTTGTTTGTTTTTTTTTTGAGGAATAGAGTGGGAAATATTTTCAAAAATTTTAAGTAAAGCAGGGCTAAGGTAAACATTGTGGCCCATGAGCCTTTTTTCTTTCTTTACTATGAACCTCATATTTAAGTTTTGATTGGTGATATTTTTTTTAATCATAATTAGATTCATTGTATGCAACGGCCAGGTCATTTGGACCCTTCCTGAACCCCCTCCATGCCTTTTCCTGAAAATATACCGCTTAAACTTCAGAATGGAGCATTTACCTCATGTGATCCATGTACTAGGCAACAGATACAGACTGGGTTCTATATATGTACACGCCAACCAGCACTTTACTGCTTGGGTGTCCAGACCTCAAGGAATGGCATTCTATGATGACAGAAATGAGGATCAACATGACAAGTTTTCAGCCAAGTTGGATGACTTGAAGGAATTTCCTGGAGGTGGTGAACCATGCTTGGCTTCTTATTTTGTCATATAAAAGTTGCTGGTAAGGCATTCCAACCAGGCAGACCTTTTATCAAATAATTAAGATAACTCAGTCAGTTGAGGTGACTAGATTTAATGAAACGGTGAAAACATAGGAAGTTGAAAATCTAAAAACACAATTGTTTCCTGAAAGAGAAATATGTAAAATTACTACATTGCAAACATCAAATAAATCACTGAAACAGAAAGGGAATACGTGTACCCTACAGAAAGTCTTCCTGTTTCAGATAGTGTTTCCAGACATCCACAGTGCATCTTAACAGCCAGCAAGACAGATTCAAGCACATGAACAAATGCAGAATCCTATCCATATTTGCCCTTGAACTATAAGAAAGGGAAAGTATAGGAACACAGTCAGAGGATGGGAAATCTGTGCATTAAATTGATCAAGAGAATAAACACTTATTCTGTGCATAAGTCAACCCAGATGAGCCAAACTCAATTGCCAAATTTAAGCCTCTCATAGTTTGGCAAAAGTAGCAAAGATGAATGTTTCTTCGTGCAGTTATATGGTTATTTTTGCTAGGAAAATAATGCCCTTAAAACCATGATATGGAGACTATTAAAAATGATTTTGTGAAAGTTATGACAAATTACTGAAATTCTAGTCTTCAATTGCACTCACTATAAAAGAATACTAGTATATGTTTTTGAGAGAATTAAAGGGTATAATGTAAAGCAGGCAAAGGTCTTTTTGTGTATGTTTAAAAAAGCATCAAGTAGACTTTGAACAAGGTGAAATAAAAACAATATGGCCAGAAATCATAAACCCCAATTTTATTCTAATTTTCTATTGTTCTGCATATCAATCTCCATCTGCTACTCGTGCCTCCTGCTGCAATGAAAAAAATTAACCACTGGATGTAATATAGAAAGTTGCTCAAAGTCCCCTTTTAGTAATGGGCAGTGCAAAGATGACATGATTTTCTTCCTTGACACCTTGCACTCTAATCTGCTTATAATTGAACAATATTTGAAGGCAGTATGTATCATGTGCCTTGATAGTATTTATTTAAAAAGTTCTTTTAGACAAATTGTAAGTTTACATGATTCACATTCCTGTTTGCACAAGTGTATTTTTTCATACTGTTGAGCATTCCTTTTTTTTTTGAGTTATTATATATTTTATGAAGATAAATTTTGAAAAAATCCATGCATGCTGTTGAAAATTGAAAAAAAAGAAATGTATATCATTATTGTTCTTCTCTAAGGCCTGTTTAATTAAAAGGTTGTTAATAACTAAATTGAAAAAAAATCAACATTATCAAATTTAATTTTTTCATAATTGTTAATGCTTTCTTGGAATGTTATAATTACTGTATAATCAGGTGTAAGCAGTTATTGTGTTCAGAACCTTAAAAGTGCAATATTTATCTGTATGCTTTTATAGCCCTTGTTATTTTGTTAAAGAATTCTAATATGGCATGTTATTTTGATGATCAAAGCATTTTAAAAGTAACACAATTAGATTTTTAAAAAATGTATGTAAAACTGAAAATGAATTTTGTTCTGTTATATATTTCATTTTTTTTTTTTTTTTTTGTACGTTAGATGTTGTCTGAATCTCAATTATTCGTTATGTTTCTTGCTTCTGTGATGAGGAAAAAATATATAAATCTTAAGGTAGGATTCTTCTCATATTTCTTGTATTTAAAATTAATGTAATTTTCACAGAATCAAGAAGACAATATCACTAAGTGATGGTATCAGTGAGATTAAATTTGACTGTTTCATATTAGAGGCAAGGTCAGGTCAAGGTCATTATCTTTTTCCTGGACATTGATAGTAAAAAATAACTGTTGCCAATTATGCGATCCCTACTTGTATTTCAAAAGACTGAATGTTTTTCTTTTTGCCTAAAAAGATACTATCATAAAGGGCTTTTATGATGATATTACCAAATTGACATAAATTAAGTAAAATGGATATTGGCTAATCCGAATTTTCTCTGTTTTTCTTAAATTTGTAGGATTAGCTATTTTTATATGCTTCCTATATTAAAATTTTTCTCATTTTCACCTAAGTAAAGTTGTCACATAAAGATACAAAATGATACAAAAACAAAAAGTTTTGATAGTTTACTAAGAGAAAAAATACTTTTTACGGATTTTTGGCTCAAATCTGTACTCAGATTGGAAGCTTATAAAAGCTAACATAATTCTAGTTTGTTTGAAAAATCATATTTATTTGATGTATTTAGGAAAAATATAGTCCCTGCTAGTTTTCAAACGTGGTTAACCATTTCTATTTAAAGTTGTGCAGTTATGAGGAAAGAAAAATATGGTCTTTTAAATCTCTTACACCTAAATATATAAGACATATAGGCAAATGTACTTTGGATATTTCATCTAGTCAGAAACGAGAGAAGAATCCTACCTTAAAGTAATCATGTTATGGATGACTTGTCCATGATAATTGATTCATTACTCCTTCGAGGTTGTTTATGTTTTGGAACACCTGTAGGCTTTCCCTCTGTTTATTTCAAAGTGAACCTACATGTAGAGTGAGAGTTGAAGAAAAACGGTAACTTACTAACACTGGTTTCTCCCATACGTGCTCTCTCTCTCTGTTAGGTATACCCCGGTATGTTGATAAGCGCAGAATTAAGCAGCCAATGAGAAGATTGTCATTTGTCAGTTTTACACAAACCAAAATGAATTTGAATAACCGTATCTATATTGGATTCCAAAATTTCATAAAAATCCTTAATCTTAAAAGATACATAGCGGGTCCAGTAAATGTTCAACCAAACTTCTCTTTATTCCTTACTCAGATATTAACAGTATAGTAAAGGAGAAACTTGAAAAGTATTGTGCAACGATATGTTCGAGAAGTGGTGTAAATCAGATGAAAAAAAAAATTTAAAATCCCAAGGAACTTTTGGAAAATTTGAATAACAAGAATTAAGAATTATGAACAGTTTGAAAACTTGTGACTTTTCAACTTGATACACAACCATTCCCCACAGTAAATTAAAGTCCGGGTTTTTTGATATCATTGACAGATGCTTTTTCAATAAAAATGGAACTCGTAAATTTACTTATATGGTCATTACTAAGTCATTTGCAAAATTATTTTGTTAAAACATTCTGATTGCAAACACAAGTACACTGAAGTTGACATCAACGAGATGCTTGAGTTTCTGATTGACAATATCTATGTGGTTTTTGGGGCTCAATGTCTTCCAATAATTTTAAATTCTCATGGGTACCAATTGCGCTAAAATTTTAAGCAGACCATTTTTTTATTCGTATGAAGCAGAATTTGTTCAAATTCTTTTACGTGAAAAAAAAAAAACACTTGCTGTGGCCTTCAACGTCGTTGGAAACCCACAGGTGATCTCGTCTTTACTTATCACCCGTGGGCAAACTCGCCGAAAAATCATCTTATGTAATTAAATATGCATGGGTCATTTGATTGGCCGCTTCAAAGAGTCGCGATGCGAAACAACGAATCACAGTTCACGTTACGTATGCATGTTCGGCATTGCCAAAAACATGAAAAACTCATTCCGTAGTCACAGCTGATAAATCCACTCACCGGTGCATTTTGCAGTTAGAAAGAGGTAATCCTTCATAATATCTGACGGATATTAATGTCAGTGACCTTGTACGAATCAAACTTCGCACGTTTTAACGAGCGTCAAAATATTTACCATAAATAGCAAAGTAATAAACTAATTTTTAAAATTGAAGAGTTCCAACTTTCTGATTGGTTGACTAAAAACAACAAATAAGCATATTTTACGCCGATATTTCAGCTAGTTTTCCCACGGCAACGGGTGATAAGTAAAGACGAGATCACCGTGGGTTTCCTACGATGGGCCTTCAACTCAACAATAAGATATATCGACGACATATTGTCAATTAACCATCGTTATTTCCATTCTTATATCGATACAATATATCCCAGTTAGCTTAAGATAAAAGATAGCACAAAGTCTGAGAAATCTCTTTCATATTTGGATATTTTACTTGAAAAAAGACGTTAATAATGGAAATCTAACAACCAAGCTTTATGATAAACGTGATGAATTAAACTTTTCAATCGTCAACTTCTCTTACTTATGCAGCAAGATACTTCCATCACCTGCATACGGAGTTTATATCTCTCAGTTGATCCGATACGCAAGAGCATGCTCTACGTATAAACAATTTCTAAAATGAGGTAAATTATTACAAACAAGTTGATGAAACAATAATATCAGCAGTCTCGGTTCAAGTCATCAGTTCGTAAGATCTATGGTCGATACAATAAACGTGTCAGCAAATACAATTTATCATATAAAGTCAAATGCTGACTGACCTTTTTACATACTGATTGTTAGGCCATTGTTTACATACTTAGTTGTCCATGGATTTTCCCTAACATGACAAGAAGCACATGGCAGGTGTGGCCTGGATGTTCACCCCTCCATGGCACCTGATCCTTCCTCTGATGTTTTGGAGGTCCTTGATTGCTCCGCTCCTTTTTTGTAATGTTTAATGTCGAATACTGTTCGTTATCTCTACATATTTCATAATTCTCAAAGGATAACCTGAATTTCCTCGTTGCAAATTTACACAAGTAAATTAATAAAGTTTAGAAATATATAATGGCGAATGAAGAAATCGCTGTCAGAAGAATTTTTTAAAGGTGTTATTTAAAAAAAAATATGACAGATCGAAAGGTAAATACATATTTACTTGTAAACAACTCATCAGTTAAATTGATATATCAATAGCTCATGTTATCCCATTAAAATAAGGTCTAAATAATAAATCTTTGGAAATATTTGAATGATAATAGCTGTCACAAAGCCAGATGTTGCGTTTTTTTACGACTGTTTCCTCATCCTACTTGTGTATAATATATAACCTGAGTAACATAGCTTTATTGTTACATAATTTGGATTCGTCTATTATATTCAGAATGGTGAACGCGCTCCTTTTAGTTATAATTTCATTGTTTATTGTAGACTGTATATCATTCAAAATGCTTGGTAAGTTACTTTATATTTAAACAATTGCATTTATGGACAGTGTCATTTTAGGAAGAATTCTAAAAGAGTTTAATATATTAAACCAAAAGATGGACTTCGTGGCAAAGATTAACTTGTCATAAATTTTACTTCTCCTTTTAATGAATTTCCTGTAAAAATGTCTAGAAATTCACATAATTTCTAATTTTAAAAAAATCATTTCAGGGAAAAATTGTTAATTTTCCATTACAATATTATATATTCCGCGTTAATGATGAAGATGTAAAAATACATGTTAGTATAATTATTAAAATTACCAGTAAATAATGAAAGAGTTCTCACAAAAGAAAATTTATGAAATGAACAAGAGAAACATAGAACTGTATTGTATACATATTACTTTATAAGAATTTAATCTTAATTTCTTTCAGATAAATTGGACTGCGCTCTTCCCAGTCAGTATAGAATGAAAGCATGCCTGAACAAGGACCCCTGTTGCTCTGTTCTGCCCGTGTTCGAAAAGGACTGTTTCACAGGATGTCAGTTGGATTGTCGGAGTAAGACGCTTTTTGTCATTCATAAATTTCTTCTTGAATTCATTTTATTTGGCAAATCTTAACCAGACCTGAAATGCCAGTCAAAATTAGTTATACTGATCTAAACAAATATTCATCATCAAAGATGTACTCGAAACAGAAGTATTGATCGGTTGTGCATTATAAGATTAACATTTTTAAATAGTTTAGGTTATTATAGGCGGTAAATAATCATTAATGGAGGGTGGTTTCTTTTTTAATGCTGTTATATAATATAAATCTATAATGTTTAAGTATATAAAATTGTCCTCGTTGTTGTTAATTTGAGCATCTGAAGCCTTAATCACTCTATGAAACATAGTTTTTGTAACCCTGTTTCCATTTTCAGATTCTATTTTCTGCAAGCGGACTTGTCCTGTTTTCAAAAGTCTGAAGTACAGGACTGCGTCAAGCACCGATCCGTACTGTTTTGTTGAAAAAATAATTCAACCTAAAGATGGCAAGGAGTGCTTCAGTGGTTGTATTAAGGCCTGTTCCTGATTACTTCTGTAGACTTGACTGTGTTACTAATCATAGCTTTCTGTGTAATTA